TAGAGGTGAGAGAGAGTAAAACTGAACACGTGACATGTGGTGCTGAATTTTATCAATCTTCTTAAATTTTTATTTTAGATAATTAGCTTACAGCGTATCAAGTTGTTTTCATTGAATTTATAAGGAAATTGTAAATGACACTTTCTTCCTGCGCCTATTTGCTTCTTTCCCTTAAGAAATAAATTGCTGCACCTTTTGTATGAACCATAATGGACCTTTCAAATGTAAAATTTCAAATATGCCCTACATAATTTTATACAATACCTCAATTAAAAGATTCACATTACCTTACTCAACGGAGATATCCAGTTATCTTTTGAAACATACCATGTATGGTTGAATTCAAGCACTTCTTATCATTACAATGTAGATTCTTTTCTTCTCTAGGGAAATGTCTTGTGAACCCCATCGACCCGTATTACATTGCTGGGTTTAAGACCGACTACAGTGTAGAGTACGTACAGAGACCTCTGATCATTCCCGCTTTGGAGATCTGTACGCCAGAAGTGATAGACTTCCTAATACAGTTTGGAGCTGATCTGGGGAAACACTATGAGGGTACTTTTATTTCTATTTTGTTTAATCTTTTAGTCGTTTTATTATCCATTGGTTAATTTGTTGTTTAATCATTTGTTCATTTATCTATTTGTGACAGGCGTAGGGAGTGCCAAAATGTCTCGCAAAATACATTCAATTTTTAATCCTACCTTATATTGCTGTTTTAAAAATCGGGTGACAAATACATCCCAAATAATCTAGCTGAATGTTTTCGCTTGAAACAAAATGATATATGATTCCAGCAACCGCCCCCTGTGGACCTGCAGCATTCTGGGCATTTAGAGACGACATTGACAGTCGTAACACCCTGGTTGTGGCACAGCGGGCAGACGTCACACATCTGAGGGACGAGCGAGGGGCCACCATGTTGCATCTGGCCGTCAAGCGGAAGAACAAACATCTCAAAGAAGAAATCGTCCGCGTTCTTCTTGAGCGGGATATTAACATTGCTGCCCGTGACATTGATGGCCTGACAGCAAGAGACTATCTAGAGAAATATGGAGTAGAAAACGCTGAATCCCTGAGAAGCATCATCGATGAGTTTGTGATATATTTTGTTACTGACGATCAGATTGAGAAAGTAGAGCAGCTAATCCTGGAGGGGTACGACCATATACTAGATATCCAAGGAGTAACGAAGAAAGGAAGAAGAATGCACACAAGGGAACTGGCCGAAATGAAGCAGTTAAAAGACATGATAAAACTACTAGATGAAATCCCTGAGTATGAGGTGTGTTTTATTAAATAACGATCTTTTACGAGGTGGAGAACATATTTACGTGATATATCAAAACGATTGTAGTTCCGTTTGGCTATTAGTCTCCGTAAAATTTGTAACAGTTTTTGTTTTTGTTTCGAAGAATTTTATAACATGCGTACCGTGACGAGATTTGACATAAAAAAAGCAATCACCATTAAAATCAATGATAAAGTAACCTTATCTAATGGCAATGTATTTATATCGTCAGCGAGAAATCAAAGTGATGCACTCAGCTATTGAAAACGCCGACATCAAGACTATTTCCAAGAAAGCTCAAGAAAAAAGGATAGCATGGGGTAAGTTTGAACTATTTTAATACCCAGATTTTACCAACATGGGTACATCTCGTTCGTCGTTTTCCTTTCCTCGATTTTTTGTTATAACTAACCAGATGAACCAATGATCTTGATAGTAGGTCATTGCACGAACTGAATAATACTTTATCAAATAAATCAAGTAAAGGTACCAATAGACATTAACACAAGAATCTGGTTGCTGTAGACACGATATCAAAATTCAGGTTTCATACTGAACATCTCCTAGCGTAATATATATGATGGTTGCAGGGACAGACAGGGGCGGAAGATCACTAATGCATAAAGCCATTGTATACGAACAACCAAACGTTGTGGATTTCCTGTCACAGCAGTTTCCAAACATGGTTTACATGAAGGATAACGTGAGTCTTTATCAGTCTTTGTCATTTTAAGGGAGGAATAATTACAATTACTTGAAATGCAAAGTTAAATTAGATTTTTAAAGGTTAATTCAATTCTTAGTTTATGGTAAGTCATGGCAATTGCATTTCTAAATGTGAGAAGCACAGTGTCGATGTAGATATCTATTTGTCTGAGAAAGAGTAGTTCACAAACGTTTTTTTTAAAATAATTTTTTTAAAGATATAATCAATTAAAACATTTGGACAAAGATCTTTAATTAAAATTTGTGTCATTTCAGCTACTACGCACGCCCCTCCACTATTGTGCTAGCCTGAAAGACAAGAAGAAAACCTACGGAAAGATTTGGTCCATCCTCAGTCCTGCCGGAGGACACAACAATCTAGAAGCCGTTAGTGACCAACTCTGTTGTCCTTTTATTTCTTATTAAAATCTTGTTAAAATCTGTGTGAATCATTATAGTGTATTAAAGTAAAGGTGGGTTTTCTGTCTTCAAAGTCTATGCTAGACTATTTTAAAAAGTGCATAATACCGAAGACCAAAATCTCAGTTTTACGAGTTCTTTGAAAACAGTGGTATCACTGGTATGTATCTGATTCCTTCAGCTGACTATTTTGAGAAGCTGTTTGGATTGAATACTGACTGTACTTTTTCTTTCCCAGAACAATCTGACAGTTCATGATTACCTTCGAGAAATGGAAAAGGAAACCCCAAAGAAAGAAAAACCAAGAGGAAGGCAATTTTATGACTACAAGGTACTAGCAACTGTTTTTTCTTGTAAACGTTTCGTTTTATCATACAATATTTCGTCAAAGCATTATGTAGTGTGGGGCTACACAGAGTAGCATGTTTATGTTTTTGAGTATATTTGATAACAATGAAACGTATTGAATATTGTTTCAGGTTCGAGATTTAGTCCAAGTTGAAAGACAAAGACAGTACTTTGACATGACCACCCTCACGCGAAGTCAAGAACAGGCAGTTTCATAAAACAATGCCCAAGGAAGATACTATAAATTTAGACTTTAGAAATATGAAAGAAAATGATATATTTTAAGTCTGGATGTTATCCTAAATGCGACCAGGCCCCATGCATTATCTGTCTCATGAAATAACACCTGATCCAGGTACAATCGCAAGGGAAGAATTGCAAATGTGGACTGCGGTTCAGTTTAAAATAATTCTTAAAAATATACATTTGTGCCAATTTTTAATTGTATCTTTTCTACTTTTATCAAATCAACGTGTACAAGTTTATAAACCAGTAACTAGTTGTGATGATGGTGGTAATGATGATGATATATCGTTGGACATTAATTGATCACATCGTCCAATGAAGAAGAACCATGAGAAGGGATTGATAGACTGGATGTCTAACACTGTCTGGCGATATATATATATATCGACACAACCTTCACTAAATGCAAGGCGATGACTGTTTGAAATCTTCTTGTAAAACTACTAAATAAACCCCAACCAGGAATTTATTTGTCAATAGTAAATCTTAATAAAATGATTAAAATTGCTGGTTTATCTTTATGAAGAACTTTGAACATACAACTGTTTTTAAATACTTTCTTCATGCGCAAGCTTTATACACACTCTTGGTAAGAAAGGTTGCCCCAATATGCTTTTATTTACATGAAATGTAAATGATCACTTCACAGGCGCGAACTGTGATAAACCGTGCTTTTTTATTCTAGATGCCATATCTAAAATGACTAATGGTGAAAAAAAAAGCGGGGAAGGTATCCATATTTTATACCATTTATTCAAATTTGTAACATGTACCTCCTCGATGTGATTTCCATAGAGGCAAAGAAAAAAAATTAAAAAGACCACCAAATGTTACCAAATTTACACAGCATTGGGATGTGCTCCTTAAAGGTCACGTGTCTACAGGTATATAATAGCCTGTATATCTATCGCGTACTACAATTTAGGGCATTTTATGTGTGGTTTACAATGTATTTATTACGGAATTTTAAACCTCATATGCAGAGAGAGTTGTTATCCCTTTCAGATGCGTAGTGGAAAAACTGGGTAGAAACCATTCTTTTTGGGTTTCAGTGTGTGCGTCTGTCTTTCTCGCTCTTTTTCTATGTACGTGTGTGTGTGTGAGAGAGAGAGAGAGAGAGAGAGAGAGAGAGAGAGAGAGAGATGTGGTCCGAATCACCATCTGGATCAAATAATTTTTGAAGGATTCATCAGCATTGCGAGATAGGGTCAACGTCCTCGTCCTTATGCAATGGATGAGCTCTCAACTACCACAATCTGTAGGCCTACAGGTAGCCCCCTAAATTTTGGACCTTCAGTGCCAACTGGGTGGCCAAGGTTCATAAGTAGCAGGTGGAAGCCCATTCAGTCAATGTGTGGTAGCAATTTAATTTAATATTATATAAATGTTCATTATATAACATCCTGATGTTCTTACAAAAAAAGGGAAGGAAATTAACCACGTTATGAAAATCAAACAAGATATAACAATACTTTCTGTAAAATCATGCAGCTGAAGAGTTGTTCTAAAGAAAAATGTAACGTAAAAAGAGTTGGGTAATATTGAATCAGCTATAATCAAATGGGTCAAAGGGAATCTGAGGTCAACCTTGAGGCATTTGTGTCAACTTTGATTTTATTAGGGCACTTTTTTTTACAATACTTTACAATACTTAAGATATATGAAAGATACAAATGCTGAAGGGGTGTTTCTGAATAATGCTCACCATTTGATAGATTTGCTAGTTATTAATAAAAATTATACTAATTTATTTAGATGAAGGTTTGTTCTTAAAGGTAAAGTTACAATGATTATATATTAGTGTAAGATGTTGCCAAAAAAGGGTCAAATTTAAAGATTAATATTAAAATTTTCTAGCAAGGCAAAACGTGATTTTTTACATCTTTCTTGACGTTGGCGTTGTTGGGTTTTTCCTTTTTACACCTGAAACATGAAAAAAGTAAATAAAGATAAATAGATATAAAAATGAATATACATGTATAAACTAATATAAATACACATAAATATAAATGCCTGGGCGAGTTTACAGATCAATGCCAGACCGCATGAAATTTTATCACAGCCTATATGGTCTGAAAAATTAATAATTGAAAATATAAGTTTCTGCTTGAAAGATTGGTGAGATAAAGGAATTTACTTCAGTGGCGGATTTTTTTGTGTCCTCCCCCATTTCGATTTCTGAAAATACGAATATTCTCCACTTGAAATTAGTATTTTGGGTGGCTAAATCATAGTTATAAACCGTACCAAATGTTACCGTTCGCCCTCTAAAATACCAAAAATTCCCGGGGCCTTTAGCGGGCCCCACACTCTGTGTGTGTGTGTGTGTGTGTGTGTGTGTGTGCTCCTTATAACATGTTCTTAAAAAGCAGTCGCCCATCCTTAGACAGTAACACTGGGAAACAAAAATTGGGGATTTATTTGGAAAAGACACATGGGTCTGATTTACAGTGCACCTTTTTTGTACACTTATGATGCGAGCTTGCAAACATTGCAGTTCAAGATAAACATTGTATTTGCTTCTCAAATTATCGGTAGGAAAAATGAAGCTATGTGGGTCACGAGTATGTACCTTTTGCCAAATTGAAACCGATACATTTTAAAATACATTAATTTTGGGAGTGTGCTCATGCCCAGAACACATGGACATGACTCCTAGAGAGTATTCGACAAAACCATAAATTACAGTTCGAAAGTAAACAATAGAGTTGTGGGTGTAAGGTGCCGTTGATAACAGACTGCAAGGTCCTCAGATCGTCGAATTGCTCATTCAGCAATTTATCACTTTATGAAGAGCTTGAGCCGAAATACTTAATGCCCGTTCATATATCAATACTTATCGCTACGACTCGTACTCTAATTTCTTGCAGGCAGATAAAAAGATTGCTCAAATTATCAATGACTGGAACAGAGTCAAATTCTCAATAGAAAACCCTCTCACCTGATGACCCTGCAATAATATGCAATAAGTTACATTTATGTTGTTTTAAATCTATGTACTAATTTCATTATCAATACATCAAAATGTAGTGATGCTTATATATGTCAAGTGTACGTACCAAATTATGTAGATAATACGTGTAATAAGATATGATAACACGTATATGTATTTGTTGCTATAAAGTACATATGTATGTTCACTTGTTAATGAATAATCTCTGTTTGTCATATGATGGGCCTACTCTTTGTGATGATAGATGCTCCTATGTTTTTACATAGACCCTTTTGATAAGTACTTGTATCCATATATGTCTGATCGATGTTAAAATTAGAGTAGTTCGTATTGAAAAAATCCTGACCGTCTTCTGGGTCTTCCAGTGCCATGTGTGTAAGTAAGTGAGTGTGTGTACGCGGAGTATAGTTAACTTTGTAGAAGAGGTGAAAGCAACATTCCTTGTTATAAACAGACACTGTAAGTTTGACGTTACTGAATCTGCTTCTTTACATTTGCTGTTTTTACAAGTTTTTTTTTTGTTGTAAATATTATAACCATATTTTTGCTGCTTGGTGTCTGTATATTTGCCAGCTTTGCTGTCTAGTTCACCTTTTTCATCATCATTTACAGCATCATCATCACTATTTTCCACAGGGTGAGCTAGTAGTCTGCTACAAAACTGTTTTATCGCTCATACTTTAATATTGAAACTATTTTAAAAGACCCTGATATCAAAGGGTATCTCACACCATGTGGTATCATTTTTGTCAAAATACATAGACATCGTTGTTATCACCACCATATTTGATATGAATAAAGTTACGGCATTTAGAATTAAAACATACAAGTATTTGTATATAAAGGTTCAGTAACGTTGCCGGGTTTTTTTCAATTGGTTTATTTTTGCATAGGGTAAACTGCCTTTAATTTATTCATTCATGCATTCATCATATTCAGTACTTATGTCGGCTGTGGATTGTATCTCCACATCTCTTTTTCAGTGTCTTTATATAGGGTAAGACCAATTAAGGCGCTTGTACAATCGTTTCATATTTACATTTCATATTTAATAATTACCCATAACTTAAATCAAACATAGGCCACAAAACGCGCTTTTTTTTATTAAAGATTTAATTTACGCGAAGTCCAATTCCGTTTTCCGCTGGCAGTTTCTAAACAGAACAACTGAGAGTGATTTTTTATAAAGATGGCATCTGTTGGTCAGTGATAACCCTGTTTAATAAGTGCGGTCAGTACATCATCCAAAGCGTTTATGATTATCGAGGTCATAGGTCATTGGACATTACTATCGCAGAAAGTCTATAGTGAGAGGCGTTCTCGTTATCTGCAAAGATATGCACCACGAGGACTGCCCGACTCGGATTGTGTGTTCACACAGTACAACATTATACTGTAGCAGTGGTACAAAACATTGTGTCCTTGACTGGAAGTCATACTTTTAAAAGTTCTTTGCTCTTATGAGAGAGTTATGATTGAAATAAATTGCAGAGCTGACCGGTCAGTCATAACCACCAAAGGGGATTTTCACCCACTATAATGTTAATTATTGTGAGTAAACTAATTGTAAATTAAATGCCGTCGCAATGAGTCATGCTTATAAATACGAAGATTATGTAACAACACTGTGGTCTCAGTTTATGTATTACAAGATAACAACAGCAATGTGCGACCATAGTCTGTTCATGTTTAATCATAAAGTATCAGAATTTAATTTTTTAATTCTACTAAGTACGTGATGACTGGGTAGGTATTGAGCATTGTGTCAAGGGGAGGCTGTCACGGGTTTAAATTTGAAGTGCAATATCAGACCACAGTTGAATTGGTTTTCCTCTTACAACGTACTACATACTCTGTAGACCCAAGGAAGCCGAAAGAGCACAGTTGATATTAAGACGCCATTTTAATGTGGAGATTTTACGTGCCGGTAAGGTAAGTCTGGTTTTCGTAAGTAAATCTTCGTATATTAGTTTATCTCATAGTGTTAAGCCATACATAGGGCACTAATAATATCCTCACATATATTGTACGATAGGTTAAAGTACAATTTTGTCATTAAATTGTGGGAGACGGGTTTGAATACGGAGCAAGACTAGATTGAAGTATTTTGACGCAGTAATGCGTTTACTGAGCCGAGCGGGTGGCTCATTTTTTTTTTTGAATAAGTAATATTTTGGTTAATATTCATAATCAGCTGAGTCCCGTCCAATTGTAATGATGAAAATTCTATTTCAGTCTGTATGGGACGTGCAATGCTGAAGCTTCCTCATGGCCGCCAATAGATGTTCGTTCTTGATATTTATTGCCACAGCAATCATATTTGTTGTCCTGTTGACTGTATTTGGTTACTACGGTGGCGGTAGGTTCTTAAATTTCAATGATAACGATAGTAATACTTTTATTTTCTCAATAAGAATTTTAACCAATGGTTTTGAAGTTTTAGTTTCATAGTGTAAATACAATTGCAACAGACTATTAAAAGACTTACGATAATCAATTAAAAAAGATATATTTATTAAAATAGTATACCAGATATACGTCCAGTTAACGCCTTCC